GTATCCGTATCCATTCTCCAGAGAGTCGTATTTGGTAAAATGTAGGCCGAAGTAAAATCTGTTAATAAGTTTCTTGGACTTTCTTTTAACCCTCTTGTGTTTGCATGTAAAATGCCTAGTACAGTATTGTGGGTAAAATTGCCATATTTCCAGGGTCTCTACCTGGCTTTAGTGCATCTCCATACAATAGGTGTTTCTAAAGGGGTAGAGAGAAGTAGTTCATCTCCATATCAGTAGGTAATTACAGGGCAAGTGAAGGCTTTTCTGGACCAGAGAGGTTGGGTGGGGGGCTCTTCTTCTGCAGCTGGGTTGCAAGAGACACAAGAGAGCAGAAGTGGACTGCTTGTAAGAAATAAATGGGTTCCCCCCACTTTATTTCTCCCTTTGACTGATTTCGGTTTCAAAGGTATTTTGCTTCTGGAGTTATAAGTATCCAGTGTATAATAGACACTAAATAAATGTGATGAGAATAGGATTCATTCACCAAGTTTCTTTTTCCTAGCCTACTTAACATTATTTACCATGGAAGTAGGTCCTCTTTGCCCTTGAAATCTAGATGGACATAAAAACACAGAGCTTCCTGGAATTTTGAGGAGTTCCTTTTTATCAGGAACTCTGAGTAAATCTTCTAAGTGGTGTTTTACATCCCCCTGCTCCTTGTCTTTTCCCTCTGTCACCCCGCGGTATTGTGAGTTCTGTTATTGTGAGTTCTGTTGACTATTTTCCGGTTGAATTTAACACCTAATAGTCATCAGCTGATTGTGTCCAATTAACAGCCATTATATTCTTTGGTTGCTTTCTGTTTAGACATGAGTTTATTGATCTGGCAAGATTTTATTCTTCAGAAACACGAGCAACATGCCATTTAATGGGGTCTCAGGATTGTCTCTAAGCAGCATGAGAGGCTTTTCAACAGGCAGCATATTGGGGGCAGGGGGAGACTATCCATTACCTCTTTTGAAGAAGAGGGTTAAGAAATCGGGTTAAACTTTGATCACTATCATTTCACCTTTGGACTTGTATTAAAACTGTTTGACACAGCCATGCTGGCAGATTGAGTAGGAAGATAAATGGGCCTGTGTGAATAGGTTTAATATCAAATGTGGATATGAGACATGGCAGGTTATTTCATCCAGGAAATGTTCATGTCCCCAAGATTTGCAGGTGACTGGTGGTGATCCTTTAGGGCTCAGGGCGCCAAAAGGTGAATATGATTGAGGTACCTTTTGCCATGAATATTTTACAACGCAAGTATCCCTTTTTCACTAGGGGCTGTTGTGCTGACTGAGGGCTTCCTCAGGCTGAGTCCTCAGTTGACTGATGAATACAAAACGCCTCTCTGAACAAAAGGCATTCAAGATTCTCTGAAGACAAGACAACCTACTTTGGTTTCTGTGTCTGGTACCGGGGTATCAACGGAGATAAAACACTGAGTGACAGGGAAGCGAAATACAGAATAACACAATCTATTGTTCTCCCATTGACTCTAAGTATAATGGGAAAGTTAGCGAGCCACTGTAATGTCATGGACCGCTGTGAACTTGGGAGAACTCAAGGATCAGAAAGTAACATGAAACAAGGAGGGAAATGAAGATAATATTGGGTTACTGAACATTCTCAAATTGTACTGAAACGCATCCCATCCCTTTGGAGAGGGCACGTTTTCGACAAGGAAGACAATGGGAAGAAACTGGCGGCTGTAATAGTATCACCATTTCCTTTTACTACAGGGTGTAATGTGAACTTCTTAGAAGACACCTTCTTTCACCACAGCTTTGTTGTTCCATCTATTGAGGAGCCCAGGGACCAAAGGCATTGCCTCTTTCCAGGGCCATCTAAAACCAAGGAGCCTGGTTCTCCCAGCCGACGACAGCTGCTCTGTTGTGAATTACAGAGCAGGTTTCCAGCCAAGGGCAGAGGAAAGGAATGGAGAGGGAATGAGAGAAGCAAAGAGAGGGAATAGACAGGGTGAGGAATTTGGAGCAAGAAGAAAATTAAGGTCCTAGAGGAAAAAAATGAGTAAAGGAATTGTCATGGTGGGAGGTGGGGAAGAATGGGGGTGCTCTACTGTCCCAAGGTCTGAGCGATGTTCTTCTAAACAAAGTAAAACAATAAACAAATCAAACAAGAAGAATGGAATCACTTTTGGAGCAACTTTGTTAGAGCCAGAAATCTACTCTTGGATTTACGATTTTGTAAGAGAAATTTAGCTAATGCTTGGAAACTTTTTTTTTTTGAACCTGTGACCCTCTTACACTAAAGCACATACCATGTGTTTTCCCAGGTATGGACCATGGGGAAAACACCGATGGTCTTAACATAAAGTCTACTTAGAACTCACAACAGTGATGGTGAAAGCTATGGATTCTGTCATAGAAAAATGAACATAAATATACAGATACCAATTTTTGCAAGAGACTCAGAGCGTTCACACTCATGAAGTCCATTCATAAACCTCTCAGAATTCCACAGACATAGGTGAAGAATTGCTTCTCCAGAGGGCTTAACAAAGAACTGGCATAGGATAGATGCTCGATAAACCCTTACAGCTTCAAATTATGTGAGTATGCTGGTCAACTGGATATTATAGTTGGCTAAAGTGCACCATATATGCCTTTACATATAACTGATTTTCAAGGAACTAGAGATAGGTGTACTATATTCAATGTCAAAAGTATACTCATTGCAATATAACCTTTTGTGCCTTTTGATTTTTGGCGACTCAGAAGGCACCTGGGGAATCTTTCAATCATAAGCTAGTAATCCGTACACCAGAGATCATACTGCACTGTACAAAGAAAGGATAAAAAGAGATGGTTTGACTCTGCTGTCACCTTAACACATTCTCTAGAAGTACTTTTTCTTAACCCAATCTAATTACCAGTATATTCCCTGTCTTCTTTTCTATCACCTTCAATAAAAGTAGAGTTGAGAGTAATTCTGGAATTGTAGCTGATAGCTAGTCTAAAATACAGTGGCAGTATGAGTACTGGTATGAGGCAGGTGTAATACAGCACAGCCAGTCTCTGCCCTCTCTCCACCATGCATACCAGCCTTCCAGCCTCAACTCTTACTGCTTGATTTCTTGTTAGAACTGAGAAACCTTGTAAAGCCTGGCTTTTCCAGATCAAGGTAACGTGGAATTAGTTAGGTAACTGCCTGGAGCAGTGAACTGGGACACAGAATCGGTACGCAGCAGGGCTGAGAAAGAGGAGGGTCTGAACTAGTCGAGCAATATTGGAAGTTGACCTCAAGGAATCAGTCAGAAGTGCTCCGTCCAAGGAGGACTAGCTCCTGGGAGCATGTAGAAAGAGACGCGTTAGGTAGGGTGGGAGAGAATTGTTAAAATTATTTGTACAAGAGCATGTTAAAATATTGGTATAAGAGCATCACGTTTATTCTTCACTGCATACTTCACCCTGCAATGGGTTAGGGTGTTTGAAGACACAGAGTTTAGCTGAATAGGAAAAAGACCCCAGAACTCTGGTGAAACAAATTTCTTTCTGACACACCAAAGTGCCACAGGGATTGGTTGATAAATATGGAAATGGAAACCCCGGAATCTAAAAATGTGGACACTTCCCAAATCACTAGGGGACTAAGTTAAGAAATGACTGCTTCAAGACACAGAAAGTTAATTCAACCTTGGCAGCTGTGTTCGAATTACCATATTTACTCCAACCACCATCGCTACCATCACTACTACCAACCCTTACTGGGGTAGGTCTGGACTCATTTTCATTTCATATATTAATATAATTCACATATTAATGTAAACCTCATAATGATTCTACAAAAATACATAATACCATCTTTGTTTACAGACAAGGAAAATTAAAATTGGAGATATTAAATCTGTCATCCCAGGGTATCCAGCCAGTAAGTGGCTGATGGATTATTCAAACCCAAATTCCACTGAGGTCAAAGAGTGGCACCTCAGAGGAAATGGTGTTTATTTCCATGGGCAAAAATGTACTTCGGTGACCAAGAGCGACTCTGGATTTTAGGGAACGCAGTGGCAACAGCAGTCCCCATGACCCATCTTCCCAGTTTGGGCAGTGGTAGTTATTTATAGCATTCCACTTATAGCTCTGGAGTCAATGGTGATCTGGGACTTGTTATTTAACCTACTTGAGCCTTAGTTTCCTCTTTTGCTAGATGAGGAAATTACATTAAACATGCCGATCTTCTTTCCCTTTAATACTCTCTGATTTTATTAGCATCTGTATCTGGTACGTGTGGGACATTTTAGACAATGTGAGAGACACAGAACTGAACACAGCGGGGCCTGCGATCTCTAGGTTTGCCACGAGGCCATGAGCTCTTCCAGAGCGAACACCACTTCATGCATCTCTGTACCTCTGCCCAGCCCCACCCCATACCTAGCTCACTGCCCACATGTTACAAGCTGCTCAGTGAATGTTTATCAAAATTATATGAAAGAAGGAAGCTGGTCATGGTAAATAGTTAATACAAAACAGAATGTGGTCAATACCTTCAAAGCAATATAGCGTATTGAGAGAGGAAATCATTACCAGCTGGAGTGATTAGGAGGGCTTCCTGGAAGAGTTGGCTTCTGACCTTGAAGGATGGGCAGGACCATGATAGGCAAAGATGGGGCAGCATGGGGGAATCTGAGCAACAGGAACTTTCCTCTGTCATCTGTTTTTATCTGACATAGGTGTAAGAGATGGTAGCAGCAGATAAGACTAGAATGAAGAGTGGGGCAGAATTATAATAAGAGTCTTAAATTTTTGAGGTTTTGGAGTGTTCAGTAGGAAATGAGCTATTGAGAATTTTTAAATGAACAAATGGATCATTGGTTGTATCACATGTATAATTCATTCAGCACTGAGCATTGTACAGAGACACTTTCACACGTGTGATTTTTTATTTAACTTATGACTCAAAATAACTCGGTAAATTAGATAGCTTTATTGTATGTTAATTGTATCTCAACAAAGTTACATAATAAAAACACATCCATTTTTGAGATGAGGTTGTATAAGCTCCCACCAAAAACAATAAAAAACCAAGGAACAGCGCTCTCCTAAAGCTTCATTTTAACTTTTGTGGGATGCCCTTTTTTACCCTCAAGAGATGAAAAGGAAGGAAGGAAGGGAGGCAGGGAGAGAGGGGGTGGGGAAAGGGAGGGAAGGGAGGAGGAGGCAGGGAAGAAAATCTCGCATTTTCTAGATCACTTGCCCTCTTGTCTGGATGCATGGGAAGAAATTGTGGCAGATGAAAAGCGCAGCTGCCGTCCAGATCAATCTCAGGTCACATGGAGCATTACTGAGCTTCAGGCCTGAATAACAAAAACCTGTTTACCTCTGCCCAGCCCCACCCCATACCTAGCTCACTGCCCACATGTTACAAGCTGCTCAGTGAATGTTTATCAAAATTATATGAAAGAAGGAAGCTGGTCATGGTAAATAGTTAATACAAAACAGAATGTGGTCAATACCTTCAAAGCAATATAGCGTATTGAGAGAGGAAATCATTACCAGCTGGAGTGATTAGGAGGGCTTCCTGGAAGAGTTGGCTTCTGACCTTGAAGGATGGGCAGGACCATGATAGGCAAAGATGGGGCAGCATGGGGGAATCTGAGCAACAGGAACTTTCCTCTGTCATCTGTTTTTATCTGACATAGGTGTAAGAGATGGTAGCAGCAGATAAGACTAGAATGAAGAGTGGGGCAGAATTATAATAAGAGTCTTAAATTTTTGAGGTTTTGGAGTGTTCAGTAGGAAATGAGCTATTGAGAATTTTTAAATGAACAAATGGATCAGTGGTTGTATCACATGTATAATTCATTCAGCACTGAGCATTGTACAGAGACACTTTCACACGTGTGATTTTTTATTTAACTTATGACTCAAAACAACTCGGTAAATTAGATAGCTTTATTGTATGTTAATTGTATCTCAACAAAGTTACATAATAAAAACACATCCATTTTTGAGATGAGGTTGTATAAGCTCCCACCAAAAACAATAAAAAACCAAGGAACAGCGCTCTCCTAAAGCTTCATTTTAACTTTTGTGGGATGCCCTTTTTTACCCTCAAGAGATGAAAAGGAAGGAAGGAAGGGAGGCAGGGAGAGAGGGGGTGGGGAAAGGGAGGGAAGGGAGGAGGAGGCAGGGAAGAAAATCTCGCATTTTCTAGATCACTTGCCCTCTTGTCTGGATGCATGGGAAGAAATTGTGGCAGATGAAAAGCGCAGCTGCCGTCCAGATCAATCTCAGGTCACATGGAGCATTACTGAGCTTCAGGCCTGAATAACAAAAACCTGTTTCTTTCCAATGCTATCTTCTTAGCCAGGTACATACATCAAGATTGTCTGAGGTGTCCGGATTCAATGTAGCAGTTTCTTAAACTCCATGTACTCTGTCTATTGCTGAAGGTGGAAATTCCAGGATTGAAAATTCTGCTGCTAAAACCTTCTTGAGACAGTTTCTTTAGGAAGATTGGTTCTCTTGGGACCCACCTCTTGGAGTTAGTTGAGTGTGTTAAAGAGATTTATTTCCAGACAAATGAGCTTATAAATATGAACTACTCCGTGAAAGGCAGTCCATAGGCCAAGTCTTGAGGGAACTATTCTTTCTACTTGGGGAACTGATTTTATGGTAGAACTGGTAAGCAGCTCTTTTTTCCTACTACCAGCCTTGGGCATTTTAGCACACACTCAATGAGGCCATTCCTCTTCAGTTTACTTATTACAGTAGTTTCCCCAAGGGTTTGTAAACCTGTAATTGGACAGCTGAGATTAAGGGGTTAAAGTCACTGATACAGAGAGGCTTTATAACTCTGTAAGCAGCTTTTTATTGGCTGAGGATTTCTTAAAGCACCATTTAAATTGTCTCCTGAGAGGCTTCCCTTGTCCTATCAGCCAAAACGTAAGAAGTAACATGAACTGAAGCTGGCGAGCGAGCCTGTTCCATGGTGAGTAAGCATAGGCTTCATCCTTCAACGACTCTTCGTTAAGAAGGACTTCTTGGAAGTGAACGGAGAAGGTAAAATTGTGGTCAGTTAACAGGATGTAAAAACTACAAAAAATCTACAAAACTGCAAGGACTTTAATTTAAAAACTAATGCAAGCCTTCTGTTTGAAGTGCCTCATTAAAGTCTCAAAGGGCCTCATTCTGAAGCATGGAGTTTCCCTGTGTTTCTGGAGGTGTTACTATTCGTTTCTAACTGCTGCTTACACTAAAACCCTGTAGAAAACCCCCAAAAGCGGTTCTTCATAGGTAGGGAGGCAGGGAATCTGTTCTGTGGTGTTTGGGGGAGACAGAGCAGTAGATGGTGCTGGCAGCAGGGATGCTGCCAGGCCGGCCCCTAGGGGTGAGGCAGAGATGGCCTGTGACCCCATGTTTGTCTCTACGGGTCTATGGCAAAGGGTACCTCAGCTCACCAGTTTCATACTCTCCGCAGGGGAGGCGCTTCTCTCCAGCTTGAAGCCCTGGATCTGAAGTTCTTGACAAATTGGATGAACCTCAGACTTACCCGCAGCTGCTGTCAGGGCAGGAGGCTGGGGTTAGAACCACCTGAGATGCCTATTCAATTGCTAAAAGCTCCCCAAAAGTTTCAAGTTCTGTACAGCAAAGATCTTGCTCCTAGATTTTATATAGAACTAGGACATGTGGGTGTCACACTCAAAGGCCATCAAGGAAGTGGGTGTCATATTCAAGGACCATCAAGGATAGCAGAAGGAAGAGGTTCTGCTTGAGATCCAGCCAGGTGCCTTCCCCTCAGATACTGTCCCCTGGGTGCCCAATGGAAGCTCATTGTTTGATTCCGGAACCCTGTGTAGCACCTTCCTTTCTGCAATATCTCTGATTGTCTTGTCTGTGGTTCCAGAAGGCTCTAGAATTCCTCTTTGAATCAAAAACAGCCTGGGGGACTGGGGTGGCAGCAGTTCTGAAGGGCCATGAAGAAATGGAGTTGTGGCTGATGGCCTGGAGGGACAACCTGCAGGGTCTTCCCACTGAGAGGAGATGCATCCCTTCTCTGTTCTCCTAGGGAAATGGAAGGGCAGGGCCAGCTAGGGGGTTCAGAACTGTCCTCTGCCGCCTCCCTGAGCCCCCATTTCCTTCTCTTGCCTTATCCCATCTCACTAACTGACATTGAGTGAAAGGTCGCTCAGGGTCCAGCCCTGTTCGGAGGTCTTTACGTGCATTAATTCTCGTACTCCTCACAGCCACCCTAGGCTGTCAATTAGAGTCTATGAGCTACATTCTGCAAATGAAGACACTGAAGCACAGAAAGGCTTAGGAACTTACTGCAAGTCACACAGCCAGTAGATGACCCAGCAGAGATTTGAATCCAGGTAGTAGTCTGGCTTCAGCGTTTGTGCTCTGGATATCACTTCGTCTTGCTTCTGCAGGATTAAATAAGAGAGCGAAGCCATGGGTGCACCATGAGTAATAATTATTACCCCTCCAAGTCATTAGCACAGTGAATAAGCCCTACCCCTTGAGCATATACATTTGTTTAAAACTAGAAAACCATGTTACCATGTTAGCATCTAGCCCAGCAGACTTCAAACTTTTTGATTATACACATATACCCCAGGAGATAAAACATTCTTGAGCATGGGAGAGAATGCATCCTACAAAGTACATATATTTATTTGTGCATAGATTAATGTCCTATTGTACATATGCCCATTATAAAATATGTAGAAATCGGAAGTTAAAAAGAAGAAATGATTTTTTTAAAAAAGTTGAAACAATTGTCCCTGCCCTTCTGGGGACTGTCTCGCTCACTTTAAAGACCGCTGGGAAGCTCACAGCATTGCCTGTGGCTCACGGACATGGATGAGAGAGCCCTGAGCGTCAGACCACCCCGTCTCCCCAGACTGACTCCCCATCCACTCAGTCCGGGCTCCAAACCCAATGGTCCCCTGGTGGGGCACCGCGGCCCGACCTGGGCCAATCTGTGAGCCCACAAAGCAGCAGCTTCAGCCCCTCATCTCTACACCCCCCTCCCATCGTCAGCCCCCTGCCCCTGGGCCCTCTCAGATGCCCAGTGGAGACCTGGCCTCTGCTTCCCCCTGCTTCAACAAGAATATCTAATTTCCATCAACCTATCTGAATTTAAGTGTTTCACAGGGTTATGTGCATTTCCAGCCTTATCACTGATTAAATTTTCAAAGGCTCATTTTCCTCAACAGCTGAATGGGGTTGTTAATTCCCTGTGTATACAAGTCTGAGAAGTTTAAATTTGGAATGACTTATGACCATGCCTAGCACAGTATTTAGAGAGTGCTGGCACTCGATACCCCCTTACGTGGCCAGAGTCTGAATCTAGAAGGGAAGAGTCTGCTCTCCTTTGGAGGCAAGTAAACAAAAAGAGGTGTTACCCTGACACTACGTCATATCCTGTTGAACCCTATGAAGTCAAATGGCACTGGGCTGGCTGCTCGCTTCTGGGGCCTCTCTGTGATGGCTCCAACATGGGGGTGCTGACATCAACTTCCTCATCTGACGGTGGGCCCTGGCAGGGTCTCCCTGCAGCCTAGTCCCCAACCCTACTGTGCACATACCCTCCTCCCCAAAAGCCCCTTCCTGCTCCTGGACCCTCCTGACCACTCCTGAGGGAGGCACCTTTCAGAGGGCAGAGAAGGGAGGCAGCAGAAGGCTGCCCACAGGGCTGAAGGGCAGCTGTTTATATTATAATTAAGGTTTCCCAGCACGAAATGTAGCTTGAGTATTCCTACACAGCCCTGGAGGTAATTACCACTGGTAGAGGTGTTCTCCACTACTAATTAGTTCCCTTCCTAATTGAGTAACAGGCCACGTGGTACAGGGGTGGGGAAAGGAAGGTGCAGCTTTCCCAGATGCATGTTCCCTCCAGGCCTCAGAACAACCCAAAGCTTAACTCGCATCAGACCCGACCCTTTCGTAATGCTTTCCCCAGGAGTATGGGGTGGAGGTGAGGATGCCAGTCCTGGAGCTCCACCACTTACCAGCTTGGGCAGATTCCTCAGACCCCCTGAGACTGTCCCCCATCTACCAAATGGGTCTAAAGAAGTACAGACTTCATAGCACCATTGTGAGGCTTAGATAAATGACAATAATCCTGGTACACAGACAATGGCTGAATAATTCTGGCTTAAGGAAATGGCACAATAGAGGGTGTGGTCATGCAGTGGGGGGGGTTGTCTTCTCTGAACGGATGGGGAAACTGAGGCAAAAAGCACACCTCAGTCCAATGTGAAACAGCGCCAGATGGCAAGTGTGCCTCCTCATCTTAAAAGGGGTGCTTTCCTTTGACTTGCACAGGAACTGGCGCTTCCTAAGAAGGTTAGATTCCCAAGATCACAAGTCCCTGAGGGAGCTGCTCTCTGCCTTCTCGACACCCACAAAGTTCCTGACCTCTGCACAGTCCCCCCACAAACCCATGGTTAATCTCACATACCTTGTAAGGAATTTCTACTTTCAACATTTTATACTACTTGTCTGTTATTTCTTTTGATCCTTACAGCCACCTAGAAATGTATTATTACTGGTTTACAAATAAAGAAAAAGAGGCCAGGAGAGATTCAATAAAGAGCATATCACCAGTCAAGGACTAAAGCACAGGCCTTCCTTCTTCCGATTTTTCCTGCTGCCCCACCAGAAGGAGGCCAATTCTACTCCCAGGGCTAAGCACACTCTCTCTCTCCCTTCCCAGCATTCAGCTCCTTGGCCTTTGGGATCACAGAGTATATTTAAAACATCCTGAAAGCCAGGAATAGTGATTCTCAAAATATGTGCATACAAGTCTCCTGAGGAATGTATTTTAAAATGCAGATTTTAGGGCCACACTGCCAGGGATTCTGATTCCTGGGTCTAAGAGGAGGGCCAGGAAACTGAAATTTAACAAGTCCCCAGGTTTTCTGATTTAAGGGGTTCAAGGGCCACCCTCTGAGAAATGCTGGGCTAAGAGAACATAGGATGGGCGGCAGAAGCCTCTTCAATACCACCTGTGTGACCTCTGTTAACTGACCTAAACTTTCTACAACATTAGTTCCCTTCAATGCCAGGGAAGATAATAATATTTACCTCCCAGGGGTTCTGTGAGCATTAAATGAGATGATGTATATAGGGTGCTAAGTGCCTGGCACAGGAAAGTGCTCCGGAATGTGAGTAATTGTGAGCATTACTGCTGCTCTTGTCATTGATATTGAAATACAGCCAGGCCCTGTATTACTCAGGGGATAAAGTATGATAGCGAAGATCTTCTCATCTGGAGTCATTGAATCTATAAAAAATTGGGGTATGAAAGAGACATAAACAGGATCTGATAAACTTAAATCATTTTTTAATGAATGACTCATTCATACTCACCTAGCTTCCTTGGGGTGGGTGGGGGGCTCGAAGATAAGCAACTACTTGGACAAGAAGAGTTTGTTCTTTATTTAGGAGACACTGGTTAACAGTAGGAAAGGGACACAATTGATGGATATGACCTGAAGGGCTTCTTTAGAACTGGCTTTAGAGTGATGTCACCTGCACAAAAAGTCACTAGTGGACAGCACCACTGGTGCGGATGAGGACATTAGAACTGAGGCCAAATCATGCCTAGATCCCCCACACCCCCAACTCTCTCATGCTCCCAGCGCTTGGGCAAGTGCGTTCAGGACTCTCCCTCTTCCTGGATACAGTTTGCCCCGAGGGTGCCCTGGGGCTGCTCCCTGACTCCCCCAGGGGAAAGGAAGAACAAATATCAGGAAGTGAAACTAATGGAGCTGAGCGGTGGCTGCAGCCGGTCTGCGGAGGGCCGGCTCCCTCTCCGTCTCTTCTCTCTCTCCCCTTTAGAATTTGACAGAGGCTCCTGGGGTGGGGTGTGAAGTGAGGGTGTCAACAAGGCCCACACAGGCTCAGTGTCCCGGGGCTGGGGGCCTGGACTTCGTCAGAGAGCCTCCTAGAGATCTGTCATTTTACCCAGGCCACCCCCCTCCTGCATTTGGTGTGGCCAACTAGACACATGGAACAATTTCTGATTAAAGAAGGACCAGTGACATTCCTGGGTGCATTTTGGCCCCCTGGGGAATGTGTCCTGAGAGAGGAACCTTGGCATTTCCCAAACCCAGTAGGCTGGGCAGGCATTCCTTGGTGCCGAGGTGAGGGAAGTGGCACCTGCAGCCCTTTTTTGGTAACTTGCATTACACAACACATGTTGGGGTAAAAGAAAACTACTCCAGAGAGTTGCCTTGTATATAAGTTATGCAGTCAACTACCTGCATAGTGGGAATTAACAGACCTTGAAAATCCCACCCCCAAAAATCCCTCTCCCCCAGGGGCAAGTACTGTGTCTCCCAGCGGTCATCTTTCAGCCCAGCATGTATAGTCCCCAGCCTCGCTCTCTGCTCTAAGCCCCCGAGGTGGCCCAGGAGCAGAAGGGATACCACAATGGGGAAAAGGCCACAGAAATATGGACATGCATCAGTCTCACTGTAACTTTTCTGTAGAATGTTCACCACTTGAATCTTCCCATCTTAGTTGGCTGTCCTTTGTGACCTTCATCTGTCTATCACCTGCTTCCTGTGGCATTCCTCACCCCTGGGTCCCAGGAAGTGCCAGCCAGTTTGGGCACGCTGTGGGCTCAGTCGATACCTGAGGAATGAGTAAGGAGTGAATGAACAACACAGAGAGGTGTGGGAGAGGGGCCAGGGGTGTGGACCCCTCTGTTCCCGTCCTCCTGTCCCCTGTGGAAGCCCAGACAGAAACACACACTGCAGTGAAAGGACGATTCATCTTTTACCCAAAGGCCAGCTCCCCACTCATGTTCTTTGTGCTAACTGGGGGCAGTCAATCTGGTAAAGTCACTTATTTGCCTGGAAATCTGTACATTTTTTTATGTAAAACTTTTATGTAAAAAAACTCCACAGACTACCTCTATGCAGGCCTTCCTTTCTCTCCGCCCTTCTGTATCCATTCTCTCGCCTTCTCTCACATGTCCAAACCACTTGACCAACTGTGCTGTCTCCTTGGCGCCCTGCAGACACCTAGCCCTGGCCCTTTCTGTCCTCCGTCCACTCCTTCCCAAGCAGAGTTCGTCCAGGGCAGCAGGCTAGTGAGGCTACAGTCTCTGGGGCCACTCAGATCTCTTTTTCTTTATGGTTCATCTCCTAGGAGGTGAAATTGCTAAGAACGGGAAATGCATATGTGATATTCTGAGGAAATAATGGCTTCAGACAAGGAAGGGGTGGGCAGGAGTGGAGGTTACCAGCTTCACTCAAAACCAGGAACTGTGGAGCCATTGCCCTCAATGGGGAATTTTATTGTTTAAATACTAACATTTGGAAAAAATACTATCAGTCCTATTTCCCTCAAGAAGGAGCCTCTTTATGATAGGTTCATATCGTGTATGCTCTTACTGAGTTGCCATCCTCCAACATTAAAGCATCAAGGTTACATTCAGGCACTGAAGAACCGCTGGTGGCAGAAAGAGCGTCTGACAGTTCCTCACAGTCAGGAATTTTCACTGGGCGACCCAGGGGCCACCTGTCCTGACCATTCAGGAGCAGTTGCCACAAGACACCCTCCAACTATTCTTTTCAAAGCACTTTATTTGGTTTCCAGGGACCACAAGCTCCTGGTGTCTTTCTTACAGCCCGGGACACTCCTTGCTGGGTCTTCCCCCTCTTCTTGTTTCTAATACAGGAGCACCTTGTTTACTGCGCTTTGCTGCAGCACACTTCCCATATAGTGTGTTTTTGCAGGTTGAAGGTTTGTGGCAACCCTGCACTGAGCAAGCCTTTCAGAGTCATTTTCCCAACAGCATTTGTTCACTTTGTGTCTGTCCCATATTGCTAATTTTTCATTATGACTGTACTTCTCATGGTGATCTGTGATCAGTAATCTTTGATGTTAGTATTGTCATTGTTTCGGGACACCACGAACCACGCCCAGATAAGATGGCAAACTTGATTGATAAATGTTGTATATGTTCTGTTCCAGTGACGAGCTGTCCCAGCTTTCTCTCTCTCCTCAGGCCTCCTGACCCCCCTGAGACACATTCATATTGAAATTAGGCCAATTAATAACCGTACAATGACCTCATATTCAAATGAAAGGGAGAGTCGCACATCTCTCAGTTTAAATCAAAAGCTACAAATGATTAAGCTCAGTGAGGGAGGTGTTTCAAATGCTGAGATAGGCCAAAAACTAGGCTGCTTGCACTAAACAGTTAGCCTAGTTGTGAAGGCAAAGGAAAAGTTCTCGAAGGATATTAAAAGTGCTACTCCAGTGAACACATGAATGATAGGAAAGTGAAACCGCCTCATTGCTGATGTGGAGAAAGTTTAGTGGTCTGGATAGAAGATCAAACCAGCCACAACATTTCCTGAAGCCAAAGCCTAACCCAGAGCAAGGCCCTGACTCTCTTCAAGTCTATGAAGGCTGAGAGAGGCAAGGAAGCTGCAGAAGAATAGCTGGATGCTAGCAAAGGTTGGTTCCAGAGGTTTAAGGACAGAAGCCGTCTCCATAACATCAAAGTGCAGGTGAGGCAGCAGGTGCTGATGGAGAAACTGCAGCAAGTCGTCCAGAAGAGCCAGCTAAGATCACTCATGAAGGCGGCTACACTGAACAACAGTTTTCAATGAAAAGGAAATAGTCTTGAATTGGGAGAATATCCCATCTAAGACTTTCATAGCTAGAAAGCAAAAGTCAGTGTCTGGCTTCAAAGTTTCAAAGGGCAGACTGACTCTCTTACTAGAGGCTAAGGCAGCTGGTGACTTGAAGTCAGAACCAGTGTTCACTGACTGTTCTGGAAATCCTCGGGCTGATGTTAAATCTGCTCTGTCTGTGCTCTAGAAATGGCACAGTGAAGCCTGGATGATAGCACATTTGTTTACAACATGGCTTACTGACTATTTGAAGCCCACTATTGAGACCTACTTCTTAGAAAAATAATTCCTTTCAAAATATGACATTGACAATGTTTCTGCTCACCCAAAAGCTCTGATGAAGATGGACAATGGAATAATATTGTTTTCATGCCTGCTCATATCCATTCTATAGCCCATGGATCAAGGAGTAATTTAAACTTTCAGTTCTTATTGAAGAAATACATTTTGCAAGGCTATAGCTGCCATAGATAGTGATTCCTCTATGGATCTGGGCAAACTAAACTGAAAACCTCCTGGAAAGGATTCCCCATTCTAGATGTCATTAAGAGCATTCATGATTCACGGGATGTGGTCAAAATATCAACACTAACAGGCATTTGGAAGCAGTTGATTCCAGCATTCATGATGGACTTTGAGGGGTTCAAAACTTCAGTAGAAGAAGTAAGTTTCTACCATAAATGTGGCAGAAACAGGAAGATAACCAGAATTAGAAGTGGATCCTGAAGGTGTGACTGAATTGCTGCAATCTCCTCATCAAATTTTCATGGGTGATGAGTTGCTTCTGGATGAGCAAAGAAAGAGATTTTTTAAAAAAATGGAATTTCCTCCTGGTGGAGATGCTGTAAAGATTGCTAAAATGAAATGACAACAAAGGACTAACAATATTCCAAAAACTTAACTGATAAAAACAGCAGCAGGGTTTGAAAGAATGAACTCCAGTTTTGCAAGAAGATCTACCTTGGGTAAAATGCTATCAAAGCACATCTCATATTATTGAGAAACCGTTCCTGAAAGAGTCAATCAGTGCTGCAGACTTTACTGTTTTCTTATGCTAAGAAATTGCCACAGCGACCCCAGCTTCAGCAGCCACCACCCTGATCAGCCGGCAGCCATCAGCATCGAGGCAACGCCCTTCACCTGCAAAAAGACTATGATTCACTGAAAGCTCAGATGATGTTTAATGTTTTGTAGCAATGAAGTATTTTTTCATAAAAGTATGCACATTGTTTTTTTTAGACATAATGTTATTGCACACTTAATAGATGACAGTATAGTATAAATGTAACTTTTATATGCACTGGGAGACCAAAAATTTCATCTGACTTGCTTTATCATGATATTTGCTTTTTTGTGGTGGTCTGGGATGGAGCCACAGTGTCTCTGAGGAATGCCCGTAGCTAGAGGAAGTCCTGGCTCAGTATTTGGACAGCTCTGCTGCTCTACCTCCTTCTCTCGTGTCTCTCACAGATGTAAATATCACGTTGAGTCATAAGATGCATCTGATATTTAATCTTTTTCACCTATGAAAATGTCTGTTTCAGTGGTTCCATCTAATGCGCTATCTATGCTAACTCCCAAATCCGTGTCTTCACCCCCTGACCTCTCCTTGAGCTCCAGGCTCACTTATCCAGCTGCCTCCTGGACACCTCCACGGGCATGTCTCCTCAGCACCTCCAAATCAACCCAAGCAATTAGAGCAGGAATGTAGGCTTCCCCGCTGGCCCTGCTTCTCTGCCAGGCTCCCATCCGCTGAGCACAAGTCTGCTCTTCAGTTGTGCTGACCCAGAACCTGGTAGTCCTCCTTACTTCCTCTATTTCTCTCCCCTGCTACACAAGTAAGTCTTGTTTATTCTAACCCTACTTCTAACGTCTCCGCTCCTGCTGTCCTGGAGCTGTTGCTTACATTAGTTTAAAAGCCTCCTAACTGGTTTCAGCTGTGACTCTTGGACCCCCTATAATTTATTCTCTGTATGATGGTCACAGTGATCTTTCCAAAGCATAAGTCACATCGCGCCACTCTCTCCCATCCAGATGCCCCCGTGTCTTCCCATCACACTCGCTCTGCTGGTTCCAGCCCCCGCCTGTCTCTCTGACCTCCATCTCCTTCCCCTTCCTCACTCAGCTGTAAATCAAGGCCTTCGTACCTCCTGCTACCCTGCCTCTAAACTTGCTGCTCCAGTCCTTCACATCTCTATTCAGATTTGTTGTCTTCCAGAAAAGGCTTTCCCAGACCATCCCATTCTCAGATGATACTTATCCTTATACCTTGTTTCATTTCGTATAATCACGTATTACTGTGCACTTGATGAGGGGTTGCCTGAGCCGGTGTGGGATTAGGATTGTCCTGCTGTGGACGGTTCTGATTCTTGGAATACTTCTCTTGAACATGATGACTGCTACCTCCTTTTCCCATTAGGATGGAGGGTCTCAGAACAAGGGGTCAGTTTCTCTCCTTCCATTCTGTCTATTCAAAGCATAAAGACTTTGTTCTTCCTGCAGTGTCTGTGACATCTTTGGTATCTTTGGTGCTGTGACAACCACATGCGCGCACACACACACACACACACACACATACACACACAATAATGATAAAAACAATCACAGATGTTTATTAAGAGCTCATGGAGAACCAAGCACTATTCTAAGCTGTTTACATTTATTATTTCATTTGGACGATTCAACAACTCTATGACTTAATCTCCACATTCAGATGATGAAACTGAGGTACAGATGGGATGAGGTAACTTCTCAGAGTTCACACGGCTGGCAAGAGAAAAGGCCAAGTGTCTCTGAGATTTTCAGTGTTGGAGAAGGTCTCTTATCTTGAGAAAGCCTTACTTTCTCTCAGTGCCTCACTCCTGTCCAGATTTAGCTCAGATTGTTCACAGCTCAGAAGAATCCCGAAAGATAAGGCCAGAAAGCAACAAGGATGTCCTATGTCACAGATCCCCATACCCAGGAAGGGGCTGTGATT